TGTCAGTCGGTCACCTTTGAGTTTTATATATATAGATGTATTTAAAAAGACATATAAAACACAAAGATAGTGAAGTCCTGTTCAACACACATCAAGAAATCCCAAAAAGAAGAGTCTATCTCAAATAATTTGGAAACGCAGGTTCTTCGTGTGTTCATAAGCGTCTGCCGAGGGCATTCCTACGTCATAACATATACCTGCATGCCAAATTTCAGCCCGATCCGTCCAGTGGTTTGGGCTGTGCTTTGATAGATCACTATGTCCGTCAGTCACCTTTGAGTTTTATATATATAGATGTATTTAAAAAAAACATATAAAACACAAAGATAGTGAAGCTCTGTTCAACACACATCAAGAAATCCCAAAAAGAATAGTCTATCTCAAATAATTTGGCAACGCAGTTTCTTCGTGTGTTCATAAGCGTCTGCCGAGGGCATTCTCATCTCTAAAGTCAGCTCTCCACTAAACACACATACGGTGATTATACAATCAACCCTGCTTCACATAGTGTATTGACATAAGTAGTATGTAACTGCCACTGCAATTATTACTAATAGTTATATAGTGTTTTTATTTGTAATTTATTTGGGTCTGAGCAAATAAATAAATAAATAAATATTTATATAGAAATCCATATTAAACATCCATGACTGGAGTAAAAATGCTCGTATTCATCACGCAAACATCTGCCCCCACCGAGATTCGAACTCGGGACCTCTCGAATCGGCAATACCATGAAACCCGGCGTACATGATGCTATCCTATACGTTTTGGTGCTATCCTATCAATGTGGTGGCCATTCCAACGTGAACAAAGAAATTTGGTGTCCCATTTATTTGTCGCACTATCCGCAAATGGAATGATTTGCCCTCTCACTCCCTCTCTCTTACAACCCATCACCAGCCTATTAATGTCCCCATTGCTGGGGCACAGGCCTTCCCTATGAATGGAACAGGGAGAAGGGGCTATGACCCTCCACGCGGGTCCAATGTGGATTGGCGGGTGCTAACGACTGCAGATGCAGCCAGGACCAATGGCTTAACGTGCCTTCCGAATCACGAAGGAACTCAAGATAGAAGATTTTAGGTCACCCATCCAATGACCGACTACTGCAAAAGTTGCTTAACTTCAACGATGGCGCTAAACATCTGCGCTATCGAGCTCCTTTTACAACCCGGGATCCTTTAAAATAGGCATGAACAAGCAATATGCAAGATGGCAGGGTAAGGATGGCTGATGTGGCTCACCCATCCGATGATCAACCACTATTATAATCACTCAACTTCCACAATCGAAAACCGAACACGCCTACCGTTCCACCATCGATCTAACTGAAATAAGGATTTTAACTTAGAAACCTTTATGTTGTCCGAAACATCAAGAATCATGTCAAAGGTCCACCACAATAGTACTTTTTTTTTCTATATGGCTTCGCACGGTTTGTGCATTTAGCCAATGTCAAGTGTAAAATGTTTACATATTCTATAGCACTCGTTGACTCGTGGTCAAAATATTAGTCAAGTCAAAAGTAAGTGGCAGTCAAGTCAATCCCCCTTTCCCTATGTTTCAGTAAATGTGTGGGGATTTACTGGAACCTCCCCGTGGACTTCTTGAGGGAACGTCGAAAGACACTTTCCGCTATTTTGTTTCACTTGCCAACACTTGTGCATGTTTCCGAACACTTAGTGGTTAATAATCCACCATTATTAGACACTAACATTCGGCACAACAAAATTTTTAACAAGAAAAACAAAACTGCTAAATTGACGCTTCCCGATCCCGCCAAAAAGTCCCCAATAGTACTTTGATAATTATAGCCGTGTTGTTTGACATATAGTTAAATTTGACTTTTATTTAATATCACCTCAAATAGATAGTAGAATGTGTCAAACTCTGACAAATGGTACTTTTTCTACAGTTTATTAACTACAGTTAAATTTAACTATGTATTAAACAACGGAACCTAAGATTTTGAGAGTTGTGATACCGAGACATTTGCACTGTTGAACCCGTACGTTCCGCAGTTAGTAAATTAATTTGGAATTTCTCCCCGCCCTCTGTACTACTACCTACATACTGAAATTTCACAAAATTATCGCGAGCGAGAGACACGTTCGGAACGCTTTATTTTGAATCGCTCGACTCCAGTCGAACGCTCGTTTTCTACGAATTTTCGTTCGAATAACGAATTCGTTATTTCTTACTAGCACGTGTTCCCTCCTTCTTACAATCTGGGGTCCTTTAGGAGAGGCGTGAAGAAGCATTTTTGCAGGCCGGCAAGGTGAGAATGGTTGGTGTGGCAGTTTAAACTCAAACTCAAATCATTTATTGCAACCATAATGTGAACAGTGGATGGTAGGTATAAATATGAGCATTATGAACCCCGTCGGGCACGCAATTGGTTATTAGAAGAGAGGATAAGCTTCTCAGAAGAACAACACTTATAGTAAAATTATAATTGGATGTTAGAGATTGTTTCATATGTTTATTTTTTATTGTTATAATTGGATTTTTATTTAGATTATCACTATCTGATTTAATTATAAATAATAATATTAATAATTTCACAAAATTAAATATAAAATATAATAATTAATTAAATCAATTATTTGTACATGTACATTAATAATTGCTGATCTTATCATTTATTCGTTTATAACTGCTGTACCAGCTATCTTCGCGTTTGACCTTTATCACCACTTAACATCAGGTGGGGTAGATTCGTTTGCCTACCTGGCTATATAAAAAAAACTTCACATGGCTTTTTGTGTATACGTCACAGCAGTCTCGTCCTGACCCGAGCCCGCCTCGCACTTGGTCGGTTTTTTTCAATAATATGGCATAATTAATTTTTTTTTAATTGTGATTGACATACCGGTATCGGTAACTAGAAGAAATACAATAGCATTAAAGAAAGAGCTTTTCTCCCTTTTGACATGTTTTTTGCACACGGAGTAAATGCAGTTGCAATATCTAGAACGGTCTATGTCGGTATGTAACCTAAGTCACAGTGAAATTAAAAGAGAAGTAATTAATTGGTATGCCATTATAAAATTAGTTAACAAAAAAAAACAGCAAAAAAATAGCTGCATCAAAAGTTACGATTTTTTTTTGTAGTCGGTTAAATAACACCCAATTGAAATTTCAAACGAGCGATTCAGAAATAGGTCACCGCCAAAGCTTTGCACTCTCTTCCCTATCTACGTGCCGGCCAGTGTTTTGTTTTGACGTTTCTCTCTGTCCGCCATTTTGGAATGTGTTTCGCGCCGTTTTTTGAATTTTAAATCGTGCCCCTTTCTCATGTAAAAGAGGTGTGTTTAAAATTTATTAGTTGACACGCGGGACTTTATGATTAAATGCATACTTTTACAGAGCTGGGACTGTGTACTAATTTATGGATACTGTTATAAAATAAGCAAATGATGAACTTCGAGCTTTACAAAGAGTCGCTCTATGTAGGCGATGATCTGATATTGTTTCTTTCTTGATTATTCCATGGGGATTCTTTTATATACCGGTTGAAGGATAGATCATGCTCGTGAACGGGTGCTACCAGCGGAGATGAGTCTGCCCTAACTACTTTGATATTTAAGATGTAAATGTTTAATTACACCTATTATAAATAAATCTGTTTGTATTTATACTGTGTGACACAGCAATCAAAATGCAGGTGAACAATTAATGTATAATTTCACATTATGTAATGAAAGGTGACTTCATGAATCATCTCTGAAGTAATTTTTCAACTTGACGACTCTGTAAATGATAAAACAGGGAGAAAAAAACAGCCTTTGCTGAGTTTCTTGCCGGTTCTTCTCAGTACAAGGTCTCCCGCCGTAGATTTACGAACCGATGGCGTAGCTTCTAGACATTCATATGTGCTTGTAACAGCCTAAACTGAATTAATGATTTTGATTATGATTGATCCTTCTAGTGTAATCCTAGCCTCCGCCAACGAATTCATCCTGGTTGCCTGGTAGAGGTTGCTACCTTTGCAATAAGGCCGCCTTTTGTGTTTGTGTTCCTTGAGTTTTATGTTGTATATATTTTGTTAAATAGTGCAATAAAGAATATTCATTCATTCATTCATTCATCTGCGTCATAGAGTTTTTTGAGAACCCCTCACTTGGACTATGCTTTATACTATGTAGTAATCGTCATTATCCAATGAATATCCTATGAATAACCCCAAAAATGATGGTTCAAAACTTATTTAAAAACTGTAGCGAAGAATAATTATCTATGGGTTACATATAAAAAAAAGACGGGTTGCTCTCCGGGAGTGCCGGCAGAAGTGAAAACTTGAATATTAACGTTGTGCATTTTTGATATTTTGGAATGGTTAGGGAATAATTTTGCACGAATTGCTTTAATTACCAGTATAGAAGTACTATCATTTATGTGGTAGAATACAATGTTTATTTATTGTGCTATCGTACACAATCATGACAATTTATATTACATTAAAAAGTTTATCTCTCAGAAAAATCAACTTACATGAGTCACATTTAAGCGCACCTAGCGACATCTCTTGTAAAAAAATGCATTTTATTCGCAATAAATGTGCCACCTGGACGTCCTAATCAAAGACTTATAATTATAATACGATAAAATAAAATATTACTATGTTTCGCCCAATATATTGAAAGTCAACAACCTTTCCAATTTTATTGATTTCGTCTTACGAATTTTTGATTAGGTCACGTGTCCACGTGTCCTGACGCGAGTCTAAGAGTTTTTTTCCCATTACAAAAAAAGTGTACAACGCCGCTGGAGAAGGTTTCACTACAAAAACCTACTAATTAATAGTAATGCAATATATCTATATTTTTTGTATAATTATGGTCTGAGTTGAAAAAATGCCATTGCATTCCCCAGAACAATATTATTTGTAGATAAATAGCCGGCGTCCATAAACAAAACACTGTCTGTTTGGGCACAAAACAATGAAATTAATTCCACCTGCCGCGCTAATTTCGACCTTATCGCCCTTGTTACAGGTTACACTTTAAAGCGACGTCTGAGGACGACTACGCTGACTTTACGTGCGAAGCGAAGCATGAGGCCTTACAGCGAGACACACCGATGCGGAGCACCGTGCAACTCAGTGTTCTATGTAAGTACGGTTAAGGACTTTATTCGCACAGCTAGCGCTAGTTTATAATAATTGCTGCCATCTGAAAGGATAGCATATATAGGTGAAACTAGGGTTATCAGATGATAAAATCAAAAGTCCGGAGAAAAGGTTTGATTTCCAATGAAAAATCCTGAGTTTTTTTACAGTTTGCGAATTTTCTCTCAAACGCACTTTTAACAATTTAAAAAAGTCGTAATATTGTCGTTTATTCTGTGCTTATACTTTTAAATCAATAAAATTTGAAGAGCTTAATATGTGGGGCATTATATGAATCCATAGTTAAAGAAAAACCTTACTTAAAAATGTACCTTCAGATATTAAGTATGATAAAACTAAGTACCGACTTGGATAATAAAGTACTGATTTTAATTGTGCAATTATTACCAATAGAAGATTATTTTTAGTTTGTTTAACTTTTTAAGAGATCTTTAAAACGTAAGCTGTATTTTATTGGAAATTCAAAAAATCCTGAGATTTCATGAGATTTGCAAAATCCAGCCGCAATCCTGAGAAGAGTCCAAAAATCCTGAAATCTCAGGACAAATCCTGAGATATGGTAACCCTAGGTGAAACTCGTCGCGTTAAGGAAATCTGAAATGAGAAAATGGTAGTATTGAGTTTGTGAGTGTGTGGTAATAGATTGATATAAATAATTATTAAATTGAAACTTTTTTTTATATCACCACATATTTTTTTCGTTAATCTTTAGCACGCAGCATTTCAATTTGAAAATGTTTAAAAAAAAACAGATCTTATCAACTTCAATTCGGGTTTTGATTCATAGTCGAGGAATGACTTTTTCTTAATGATTTTTCCCGCTGCACTTCTAACAAGTGTGACGTCATGTCACGTTATGTGACATCAGATCACGAGTCGAGGTGAGATCGAAGCGTTCCTTCGAGTTCTTCCTTATTTGAAAGTTTCTCCCTGATCGTGATTTCAAAAAATCACAGCATCTTTTTGAATGAATTAAGTCTAATGAACTTGAACTTCAACTAACAAATTTATTTTTTCTTATAAATACTAACCTACCTAAGTTTCACAAATAAATTTCTCATTCCCAGTAATTAGTAATTACTAAATAAGTTATCGAATATATTCTAAAAGTTGCAAATAAAATAAATGACTCTATTGAGTAACTTTTTTAATCAAATGTAATGTATGAAATCTGGTTATTATTCAGTAGATAGTTTAGGTTTTACGCGAAATCAGCCCGCATCTATTATGTGGATTTTTTTCTGCTAATGCGGTCGCTTTTATTGGAGTCACATTGTCACTTTTTTAGGTTTAAATGCTTATAACAACTTAATGTGGATCCGTGAAGAGTGTTTAATTATAGAAGTCCTCTTTCCGCAATATGAAAGGTTTCTTAATAAGAGGCACAACAAATACCCCACTTAATGTTAAGTGTAAGTGGAGTCCTATCGCGAAGATAGGTGATGCTGCTTAAAGTGTGCCGCCCCAGCCATCCTAACGTTGCCGCCCTGAACCCAAACCGCACTTTTCGCACTATCCGTAAATGGAATGCTCTGCCCGCTCACGTGTTGCCGTGTGATAAGAGGGATCTTACAACCTGGGATCCTTTAAAAGAGGCGTGAAGAAGCAACATGCAGGCCGGCAGGGTGCGGATGCCTGGTGTAGAACTGCTGTACCAGCTATCTTCGCGTCTGGACTTCACCGTCACTTAACATCAGATGGAGTGGAGGCATTTGTCGGACCTATCTATAAAAAAAACCTCCGTGGAGCCCTATAAAATCAGTTCGTTGTAAATGCCCTGTCTTAAAGAATAAGCTAGTGAACATTAGGGATGAAACGATACCATCTAGGTATCGATACTTTTACTCGATACTGTGTCGGTCATATAGTATCGATGCCTACTCGGTATCGAATGAAAAGTATCGATACTTACTTGTATCGATAAATTTTGACGAACGATATTAAAATTACAAATTCAGTTACAGTTTTAATTTAATGAAAACAAAATAACGGCTCTCGCCACGCGATGAACGAATAACTGACAGAATAAATTGAAATAAATATAAATCATGCGCAAGGCTGCCAACTGAGCAGTAGAAAAAATGCGTTCGCAAAACAAAAATTCCAACTAGACACCTTACCATAGAGTAAATAATCTGCCTATCGAGTTTTTTTGATACTTCTCAGTGAGTGACCGACCGAGTACCGATACAAGTACTTATTTCACGATACTACTTGTTACTCAATTCTAAAGTATCGATGCCAAAAGTATTTGGTATCGAAAGAAAAGTATCGAGTAGTTACTTGTATTTACTCGTATAGTTTCATCCCTAGTGAGCATATTTTACAAAACAGGGCGTTTACAACAAACTAATTTTTAATAGTGTTTAGTTGTCAACAGAATGTGTTTACAAACACCCTTTAAGAAAACATTTGCTACAACAAAACGAAACTGTCCATAGCCATCGCTAATTAAAAGCATTTCAATAAACTGACGGACTTAGACTAAATAATTTTATTTTTATTTTGTTAAACCCGGACACGTGTATGACAGGAATGGTATCAAACACACCACCCGCGTGGATAAGTGTCGAAAATATATCTTGAGCTCACGCGAAGACCGAAATGGGACAATTTGCGTTGGGGGAGGGCCCATCCGCGTCGCCGGGCCTAAATTACATTGTGACGTGTAAGAAACGCTCAAACTGTTCAAGTGTTAAGGAGTAAGTGTCTTTTAAAATGAAAGAAAATTTTGTTAGTTTGAAGATGACGAAAATTTTTCGTTTAATATTTTTTTGTATTAACAACGTTAAGGTTAGTAGAGAAAAGACATTTTTTTTGGATGTTACACCAAAAAAAATGTCTTTTCTCTACTAACCTTAACATTGTTAATACAGAAAAATATTAAACGAAAAATTTTCGTCATCTTCAAACTTATTAATGTATACAAATTAGTTGTATCTCTAGCGACATGATTTTATGTAAATGTTGCTACTTCTGTTAATGCTCATAAGTTTCTTGCGCCCATTCTTCTTACCAGCTAAAAGATGTCCTGATTGGGTGATAGGGAAAATTATTGGGCGATTCAAAAGAACTTTCTATAAGTCAATTTGAATAAAGTATATTTTCATTTCATAACGTTATCTTTAATGAGGAGATTTGACGTATTTGGTAGTCCTCATTTCATCACTTATTCACCAGCAGTCCGGTCAATGTCATATAACTGCCACAAGATCTAGTCACACTGTATCTAACGGTCAAAGCCCCCCTAGCATGAGCAGTGTGCTATGATAAATAGCTCGTTTTTATTAAGCTGAATTGTCAAATTACTAAGTAGTTTGACAGTTAGACGCGATAAAAAATCGTGATATAATGTAAATTGTGTCCCTCTAGCATGATCACCGCGATATGATATATACGCTCAATTGTCAAATAACTATGGACTTTGACAGTTCACTTCTTCTCAGTCGCTATCTTCATTGCTGAAGGTCGTGTCTAACTTGAAATGTTGACCACCTGATGTACTATGCCTCTCCACGCATTCCTGTCGTCGGCAGTCTTTATAGCCTTGGTTATTGATAGGCCAGTGAGCGACTTTACTAGGTCTGACCAGCGGGTAGGCGAACGACCGCGTGATCTTCTCCCGTCGACCTGACCAACCACCATCAGCTTCTCTAGGCTGTCAGGGTTTCTGCGAGCGATATTTCCGAAATACTTTAGTATGCGCTGGAAACAGATAGTCGACAATCTTTTTTTTTTATGCGTAATAGGCAATCCGTTTGACTACAATCTCACCCGATGGAAAGTGATGATAAGGCCTAGGATGGTACACGCCTGCCTAGAAGATGCCTGTTCACTCTGGCCTTGAAGATGTCCAGATTATATTGGTCCGGGAAAACAGACCTCGGCAAGCAGTTCCACTCCCTAGCCGTTCGCATAATGAAGGCCGAAGCAAATCGCTTCGTGCGAATGGGAGGAACTTCGACAACATAAGGGTGGAAGCCCTCGCCGCGCCTGGTCGTCCGGTGGTGGAAAGGGGAAGGGGGGATCAAATTATGTAATCTTGCAGTGATGCCGAGAGTATGGACCAACGTGTCCGTATGGACATATTAATCAAGTATTTGAGGAACTCATCTTTGTCAGTTAGACGCGATAAAAAACTTGATAAAATGTATAATGTAGTGCTCATGCTACAGGCACAGGTGTGACTAGATAACCACGATGACACAAAAAGAAGAATTTGCCACCAAAAAAGGTTAATCGAAAACAAAATTAATAGCCAACACTTAATATCAACCTTCTCTAATCTCGACCGAAATGAATGTACGTCATAAATTCGAAGCTTAGGAAAGAACTTATGAGCATCATAAGTGAGGATTAAGTGGTTATGCACTCATCCTCCTTTTATCTTCAACAATCGTTCAACTTAACTGAGCAAGGTTAAGTGTTTTGCGTCGTAAACGTGAAAGCTTAGGGATAACGGACAATTTTTCTATTATTTGGCCCCTCATTTAAGATTTATTCATTCCCTTCATTCGTACTAAATTTCTACAGTCATTACGATATAATTTAGAAATAGTATAATGATGGTAGATCCACCAGTTTAAAGTCGCTCAGAGAGCTATGGTAAGGGCTATGCTCGAAGTATCCCTGAAGGACCGCATCAGAAATGATGTAATCCGACAGAGAACAAAAGTCACCGACATAGCCCACCGAATTAGAAAACTGAAGTGGCAGTGGGCTGGTCACATTAGCCGCAGAACTGACGGCCGTTGGAGCCGGAAAGTTCTTGAGTGGAGACCGCGACTCGGTAAACGTAGTGTAGGACGCCCTGAGACAAGATGGGGTGATGATATTCGAAGGCTGGCTGGAGTGGGCTGGATGAGAGTGGGACAAAATCAGGAGCAGTGGCGTGCATTAGGGGAGACCTATGTCCAGCAGTGGACGAACATGGGTTGATGATGATGATAGTTAGCGCGTTCGGCTGCGATCGTGAAGATTGC